AGATCCACAGAGCCTCTGAGCACTGAGAACTGACCCCAGGAGGGTGCCGGCTCTGGCTGTCGCCTCTGCCTGCAGCTCTGCCACGAGCCTGGCAGGCTGCCCGCAGGCCGGCCAGGTGTGGCCTCACCTCTGCACAGTGGCCTGGTTGTCCAGCTGGTCCTGGTTGATGCCATGCTCCGCGCTCTCGGCCAGCGGCTCCCCGATGCTCTTCAGGATGCTGTGCCCCTCCCTCAGCGCCAGCTGCAGGTCCTCCTGCAGAGAGCAGGTGCCACTCAGCTGCTGGGGCCAGCCTGGCGAGGTGGGCAGCTGCGGCTCCCAGGACGTGGCCACACCGATGCAGCAGCGTCTGGCTCTGCTAAAACTGGGCGGTGAGTATTGGGCGACTCCCTCATGCTTGTTGGCACTGGGCAGAGCTGGGCTACAGGTCACTCAGGGGCAGGCAGGGTGAAAATGTAACCAGAGGCCTGGCCTCCCATGTGCCCCAGCTCCTAAAGCCATTGCGAGCCACGCCGAGCCCAAAGCCGTCCTTGGGGAGCGAGCGGCTCGCTTGACAGGGTGAGCACTGTCATCCAGGTGCACTGTGCATGGGTGCCAGGGCACAGCAGACGTGGCGTCTGCCCGGGGTGGGAGAGCGGGTACACAGCAGGCACTGTGCGCCGGGATTCGGCCGCACGGAGCAAGTGCCAGGAGCACAGGTCCTGTCTGCTACCAGGGGACGGGCACGACTCCATGCGGAGTCCTCACCACAGGCAGCTACAGGGCTCAAGGATGGCCGCCTCTGACGGCCCCTCACGTACCCTGGCCACGCTCACTGGCTCCCAGCCAGCTCGAGGCACCCAGATAACGTACCACAGCTTCATCTGGAGCCCAGCTGCCAGGGAGCACGCGCTGGCGGGGCCGGCGGCCGGCAGCCAGCGAGCTCTGAAGGCCTCTCTGACCCCGCAGAGACCCTGTCTTGCCTGAGGCCGACCTCGGCCCGCTCCTCCCCGCCTCCCCCTCGCCCGCCAGCCGCTCGCACCTTGGCCTTGTTCTTCTTCTCCGCGTGGGCGCAGAGCACCGAGCTGGTGGATGACACGTCGTTGGGCAGCTCCGTCTCGGCCAGCTCCATTCCGAAGGTCTGCAGCATCTGTGCCGTCTGCTTGACCAGGACGGCGAAGCCTTCGATGGCCTTGGGAGAGGGGCCGGTCAGAGCGCGCTCGCTGCGCCCGTGGGAGCAGACCTACGCCGGCCCGGGCAGGCGGCCGGGCCACTGGAGAGCGGGAGGCGCGCAACCAGGGGCATGTACGCACGGGCGGTGCTCCCGCTCCTCCCCTCTCCGGTCTCCTCAGACGTGCACCAGGCACGCCTTGCCAACACTCCTGTCACAGAGTCATCGCTCACAGCCGCCCTCAGTCCCCGCAGGGCGTCTGTGCCACAGGCCGCGACAGCAGTGTCTTCCTGTCCTGTCCCCTGCTCTCCCCAGCCAGAGCCACTCCTGGACTTCCCACTCACGTTACTGCCCCGGGATGACTAAGATGTCCTCATTCTTGGGGAAGAAACGCTTGTCGGCGCGGACACATTAGGGGGAAGGTAGCGTCTCAACGCGAACGCCGTCCTGTGGGGCAGCTGCAGGCCAGCCAGAACCAGAGCCACCAAGGCCCACTCACCGTGCGGTGGCACAGCCAGCGGGCGTGGCAGTAGTCCAGGGTCCCGCCGAGGTCCTCGGTCAGCTGGGACTTATCGATGTAGCTGTGCAGCTCTGGGACGGAGCTCAGCATGATGACCTGGGGAGAGAGCCCAGTTCCAGATGCAGGGCGCCTCCTCACCCTGCAGTGGCGCCTTAGACTGCAGCCCGCCGGCTTGGTCCCGGCGCGGCCCCTCCTGAGCTGGAGGCCTCGGGCAAACCGCGGCATCCTCGTAAATACAGAGGACACTCCACCACTGATCTCTCCAGGGAATGAAGAGCAGGGGGTGGCGTTGGGTACACACAGCAGACCAGCCCATCTGCTCTGCCTCTGGCGGGGGCAGGCGGCGTGCCCATCGGATGGCGCCGGTTCAAGGGGAGCTGCTGAAAACACCTGAGGTCATCCCAATACCGAGGTCGCCGGGGCAAGGCTGCAGGTCCTACGTGGCTGACTGTGTCCTGCGTGTTTCCGCCCCTGTGCTCTGGAAGCCCTCAGCAGAGGCTTAGCTCAAGGCTACGGGATACCCTGGCAGCTGCCAAGCCTGGGCTGCGTTAGTGTCGCCCCTGGGTTCCCGGACAGTGGCTGAGACAGTCAGTTATCACAGCCGGCGAAGGCGCACTGGCACCGTAGCCTCCGAAGCCAGAGTGGCACTTTCACCGTGCAGTATCCCCAGGCCCCGCCAGGTGGGGCTCGGGCGCAGCTGGGCGCCCTGTCTGGTGTCCCTCCCAGTCAGCACCCCGTCCCGTCCAGATCCAGGCTTCATAGCTGTGTGTCAGGCCAACAGAGGGCTGGCCCCACCGTTTCACTAAACCCGCCTCCCTACTCCGAGCGGGGCGGTGCACTCCACGGGAGCCATGTGGATGTCCGCGGCCTCCCAGTGGTCCTGTCATTCCGGAGACGGTCCTACGTGGGCGAGTGAGCTGAAGTGCCAGGACCTCCCTCTAACACAGCAGCATCGCGTGGCAGGAGCCCCGTGGGACATGGTCGTGGGGCGTCCACACATGGAACCTGCCACCCCCAGGCTGTCCCGCCGAGGCAAGGGGACGTCCAGACAGCCTGGGTCGGCTCGCCTGAGGGCCGAGTACAGCTCTGCCAGGAGGGCCCAGGATGGCCGTGAGCTTGCACGCGGTGGCCACTCCTGGTGGGGTCAGGTCTGAGCTTCCACCTGGGCATACCCTTGGTCACCTCTAGGAAGTGGACTGCTTAGCAATGACGGAAAGCGTGGTGCCCCACATTCCCCACCCAGAGACCTGGAAGCCAGCGGTTCTCAGGGGGGACCCCCAGTGTCCTCGTAGGGCCCTGGGCTGAGCAGAATGCCCTGTGCCCAGTTACTGATCTGGGCCGGCCTCAGGGTCACATGTCTCGGTGGGCACTGTGGGAAGGGCCTGGGGCAGACCCGGACGCGGGCGGGGGAGGCCTCGGTTGCTGTTCCTCCCCATCTGGACACATGGGGCTTTGACTGGTTGCAGGGCAGGTGGGGCTGGCTCTGGGAATGGGGACAAGATGTCTTCCCTGTAAGCTGCCGTGGCTAGCTCCCCCCCCGACTCTGAGACTCCCCAGGCGATCTGGCCAGCCAGGTAGGAGCTCCTGTTCCTTTGGTAAGAGAAGCAGCAAACCATGGAAGTCCTGGCCGGCGGCCACTGCCCAGCGACTCAGGGGGCAGCCGTGCACTCAGGCGTGCCCAGGTCCCCAAGGAAACATGGCTACAGGACCTGTGTGCATTGCAGCCGCCCATGGGCACCAGAGCGTGCCCTGTGTCGACGGCAGAGGCAGAAGAGGCGGTCCTATGCCAACTGGACTCGGAGATGAGGGAGGGACCCCAGAGGGGCTGTCCCCAGCCTGGGTAGGACCCACCCCAGCCAGCAGCTGGGCTCCCTCTGGGCCCGGGGAACACTTGCACCCACCTCCTGTACCTCTCTGTCCCCGGGCATGGGGGAGCCTGGGTTGCCACCCTCTGGGGACTGGTGGTGGCCAGCCCTCAGTGTCTCCGAGAACACCTGGGCCATGGTGCGGCGAGGCCAGCACCATGCAGGCTGCCAGCCCGGGGTGAGTGGGGCAGGGCTGCCGGGGCCACGTGTGACAGCAAGACGAGACTCGTGGCCAAGTGCACCTGGGCTTTATGGAGGCCAGCACTGAGGCCGGCTCCTGGTACCCGGAGACGGGTGCTGAATGCAGCCGGGCAGACTTACCGGCACCTTCATCTTAAAGTCATCCCTATGGAACTTGAAGGCGATGTCTGACAGAGTCCTCTGGAAGAACCCCGTTGGGCGCAGAACGAGGACCAACTGCAGGTTTGCGGGGAAAGAGGCCTGCCGGAGGGAAGGGAGGGCCTGAGGCATCCTCCGTGGACAGCGGACAGGGGCTCTGCACCCCAGCCACACCACGGGGACTGCGGGGTGGCCACGTGGGCCGCAGGCTTCCAGGAGAGGTGTGTGCAGACACAGTTACAGGCACGGTCTCTAGTAGGCGTCACCATGTTTTAAAAGCCACGGAGAAAGCCAGCCCCGGTGGGACTGCTTGGTTTGCTCGTACACATGGGGGATGGCAGCGGTCGTGGGCGGAGCCACGCCCCCAGAGCCCACTGCCAGAGCCAGTCCCAGCACTCACATGTGGCCTCACACGGGCACAGGGTCTTCCCAGAGCACCCGCGAGGCCACCCGGAGGCTCTGGCTGAATGTGACCACTGTCCTTACCAGAGGAATTCTGGACAGACCCACCGTGCGGACACGCCTCGAGGAGGAGGCAGACACTGGGCAGAAGCAGCACCAGCCGACGGCAGGGCTCCTGGCAGCCATGGAGCTGGGTAGGTGCGGGCAGACCTCTCTGTCCCAGGAGGGCTGACCCCGCCGCCTGCTGGTAAGGCCCCACTGCGAGGCCCAGGGTGCTGACGCGCCCATCCAGTGACAGCCAGGAAGCCAGACAGCCAATGCCGAAATCGGAGGTGGGCAGCTTGTCCCTGGAGCACAGGCGCGGCCCCATGAGTGGCTACGAGGCGTGTCTGGGGCCAACCTTGCACACGCAGCATGTGACCTCGGGCTAGCCCCTCACTCCCTCGTGCCTCGGTTTCCCCATCTGCGAGACAGAGAGACAGCAGCACCTGCCACCCTCTCGAGGACAAAGTGGCCGAGGCATGTGCAGCATTTAGTCCGGTCTGGGGCAGAGCAGGCTCTGAAACACTGTCCACCTGTGATGTCGCACGGCCCAGATGCCCAGATCAGGGACCCCATCACTAGAGAAGGAAGTCTGACTCCGCAGACCTCCAACGCGGTCACAGAAGGGAACGGCATCGCCCCACAGACAGGTGCAGCGGCGAGGCCTGGGGTGGGAGAGGCCTGCTTGTCAACACCCGGCCAGAGGCTGTCCTGGGCCACGCTCGCCGTAAGAGAACAGCCCACAGGCGCAGAGCTGACGCCTGGCAGGCTGTGCCACGTGGCTGTGTGGCAGGAGGGAATCCAGGATCACCGGCCCCAAGGACTGAGGACATGAGGCAAGCAAGCCCTCCTGCAGGGAGCACGCGGGCGGCCCCAGAGCAAGACCTGGAAGGCGGCTGCGGTGCCAGGAGCGGGTTGCCGCAGGCCCCACCTTCCTGCCAGAACGCCCCTCCCACTGCGTACACACCGTGGGCTAAGCTGGCCTGCCACGGCGGCTGACCTCCCGTCCAGCTGGACGCTGGCCCCGCCCGAGCAAGGACACTGGTCTTCTGAGACTCCACACCGCACACGGCCTTCCCACGGAGCCTTCCAGCGTGTCAGCCCTGGTCCTCCACGTTGCCCGCCGGCAGGGCAGACCCTGTGCGCCTGTTGCTGGCACCCTCAGCAGCCACCATGGGTGCCAGTGGCTACCGGGAGCACTTGTGCCAGAGGCTGACCTTGGCGTCGCCCGCTGGGACCCTCAGAGCTCAGGGACACCTGGGTAGGTGACTGGGTCCCCCTGCAGCCGAGCTCTCTGACCACCAGTGTCTGTTGGCAGTGCGCGAGGCCACCACGGCCTGCAGCCGTCAGCTCGTGCCAGGGGAACGCCCGCGGGCAGAGGCTTTCTCCTGCGGGGCCCCACGAGCCGCGACTCCGGGGCAGAGTCCCTGAGGGGAACTGGGGCTCCCCGAAGACGAGCCTGAGCAGAGCGGCGTGGGTCACGGACACAGGGCTTGGCGAGTCTCTCGCTGCTGGTGAAACTGGCCGCCGCTATCCCAGGAAAGCCATGCTCTCGGGTCTTTTTCTGGAGGCGACGAGGAAGCACACTTCTCTAAACCCAGACAGGGTGCTTCTCAGCCAGGTCGGCCAGCTCCCTGCGGGCGGGGCATGTGGCAGGGAGCCGCCAGCCCCACCGACGGCGAGACCGCCAGGCACGGAACCCGTTCTCCCCGCTTTGCTTCCTGGCCTTCTGCTCAGGTCACTGGGTCTTCATATAAAATAGAATAATTGTGGGGTTCTAGCCATGTGTGGAGGTTTAATCACGTATACAAACGGGGCTTTCTGTGAGGTGGAGTCAACTGTTTGCCTGACAAGCTGCGGGCCAGCAGGTAGCGTGGTGGTTAAGGTGCTGGACTACCACATGGTTCAAGTCCCAGATCCGGGGGCTTGAAAATCACAATGGGCCCGTGTGTGTGTGTGTGTGTGTGTGCGTGTGTGCGTGTGCCCCAAATCCTGAAAGGAACTGGGTGGGGGGAAGGAGTTGTGGCGTGGCTTCTCCCCAGGGGCAATCTCTCACTCTCTGTCTCTGTCTCTTTTTGGTGAGCATACACACCCTATGGCAAAAACCTAAAAAATAAATAAATAAGAGGCTGGGGAAAGATACACAATTAAAACTTTATTTTAAATACTAGAGGCAAATAGATGATTTCAAAGTGAGCCTATGAAACAGTGTCTTTTTGTAAATCTCTCGCTAATCAGTAATGAGGTGGAGTGGGTTTCTATCTCACACACACACACTGGTTTTCACGTTCGGGGGCTGACCTTGAGGGACTTACAGACAGATGTGGGACGTGGTGTCCAGAAAATGTAGGCGGACTGAGAAACACTGCCCGGCCTCTGGGGTGCCTTTGGAGACGTACAAACTGAGGTAACACGCGTGTGCACACAGACACAGCAAAGCCATGGGCCCGCCAGGCGCTCCGTGGACCCGGGTGCTGGAGAGCAGGGCCTGGAGCCACTCAAGCGGCCCTCCTGAGGTCGCTCGGCACTGCAGCACAGGGGACAGGGCAGACGCAATCTCAGGCTCAGCATGTCTGCCAGAGTTGCTGGAAACCGAGTGCCCAGAGCGCAGACGGCCAGTCTCCATGTGAACAGGTGAGAACGCCGGGTCTGAGCCAGAGGCAGCGGCGGGGCTGTCCCACTGCGCCTGGGGCAGGCCGGCCCAAGGCCTAGAGCAAGGCCCTCAGGGCCTGGTCGCTGGCTGCCTGCTGGAGAAGATACGCGTGTGTTTGCACACCCACCGCCTGCACGCCCTGCAGCCCCAGACAGCACACGCCTTTGCGGGTCACGCCAGCTCCCCTGAGGGCGGAGCGCTTCCTGCCCCAGAGTTGTGTCGGGGGCGGTCACCGCATCGCAGAGCTCCGGCCCTGGACGGGGGGCCGCCACTCCTGCTCCGACCCTGTCTGCCGTGCAGAGCCTCCCTTCGCTCGCAGTGAGGTGCACTGTCCTAGGCTCTCAGGGGCGGAAACTGCGTTTCCTCTAACCAACCACAACCTAAGGACTTCGCACTCACCCACGACCCACAGCCCGGCTTCCGGGTGCCCCACCTTCTGTGCCAACCAGGGAAAGCACGCCTCGTGCTGCCGACAGCTCTCCCACTCTCACTGCGTCCCAGGGCCGTGGGCGCACGCGTGTCTTTCTCCGGGCCGGCCCTCGATCTCGCGTGTAGCCGCGACCGCATTCACTATGGTTCTGTGGTCCTGGTCGCCATCGATGCCCAGAGCAGCAGCTCATGGGGAGCTGAGGGCCACCTCACCTAGCTGTGCGGAGCCGGCCTGGGGCATGCACGAGGTTACACAGGGGTGCTGGTCTCAGGGCGCGTCCCGACACAGAGGGCAAAGGGCAGCCCACGAGCGGTGGCTCTGAAGGTGCCACGTGCCCCTCACAGAGGAAAGGCGCTCTTGACCCGACCCAAGCTTCTCTCCTCCTGTCCACGGAGAGGTCAGACTGTCCTACCGCACCTCACATGCCTCCTTCAGAACATGCGTGCTGTACACATGTGCTGTGCTCCGTGTCGCACGCAGTCACCCAACCACGCAGAGGCCCTGTGAGTACGGGAGCTAGCAGCAGGTGAAGGGTCCCCGGGCGTGACTCTGACTGCGCCTGCTGGTCGGGCCAGCCAGCCCTCCAGACCTCTCGCGGGGGACGAGGACGCCCATCCATGTGGGACCCCGGGGACCCCCCTCATGGGACGGGACAGCCCAGGGCCCCTGTGGGATAGCTCGGAGCTCTTTTCTCTGTCCGTAGTCTAGTGGAAGCTACTTATTTATTACTATGCTTTTAACCGCCAGAGGGAGCACAAGCTCTCCGGAGACAGGGAGGCGGGAAAGGCCCCAGGAGGCGTGGCCATGCTGCACATGTCCCTCGTTCTGGTGGGGCCTGGGGCACACACAGGCGCGCCCAGCGTACTTTCAGCCTGCCAGGGCAGGATCTGAGCTGTGGTCAGCCATGTGGGGTCTGGCTCCTTTAAGCACAGGGGTATGGGGCCAGACCTACTGGGCCGTCAGAAAGCCACGACACACCCTCACGGCGGGAGACAGAGTTACGCCATGACTTTGCCGGCACCGAAGCAGTTTATCCTCCACTGGCGAGTAACACAGTTGCACGTGTCCCCGGGGCACGCGTGGCGTCTGGCCCAGAGAACTGGCATGACTAGGTCCAACCGTCAGGTGGCCGTCCTCCGCCTGCTCACTCGCTTTGGGCGAGGACACGCAGAACCACTCTCTGGCGATTCTGAAACGCCCAGCGCAGCACAGTTCACGGAGCGGCTGGCGCTCGGGCACCCAGACTTCTGCATGGGCTGTCCCGGCAGGCCTGCCTGCGCAGCTCGGCGCTGCAGGAGCACGCCTTCCAGCAGGCCCCAGTGCGCACGCCCAGGGCCCTGGACAACTGCTGCCGCTGCCCTGTCGGGCTCCCATGAGCGTCACCTATGCTGAGAAGCCCTCCAGTGTTAGCACAGCTCCACCACCCATGAGGTGACTCGCCCTAAGAGCCCCTGCAGCAGGCACAGGGTAGGAATTCGACCCAGTGTTGCAGCGACACGGTTTTGCTTACCCGGAAATGCTTGCCGATGATCGCCAAGTCCTGGCCTGAGAGACAGGCTCGTACCCTCCCTGCACACAGATTGGCGGGCTCACTGGCACCCAGAGGTCCTGAGCCCCTTCACACTCCACTGCTAAGGCTGCAGCTCTAGGCTGGTGACACAGCGAGCTCCGGGCATGGGAGTGCACAGGTCCTGGACGTGAGTACCTCAGGCTCCACATGCACATGCACGCGCACTCCACACATGTACACCCCCACATGTATGCACACACGCAGGCGCACACACATGCATAGCCACCCATACAATGCACATACAGGTATGCAAACACATGCACACCCACATGTGCACACAGGTGCACACACACCAAATGCACATGCACACCCACACAAGTGCACACACATGTACACACAGGCACATCCCACATGCACACAGATGCACACACATGAACACATGCATACCCCCCACACATGTGCACAGCCCCCATGCACAGATGAGTGTGCAGGGGGGTAGAGTGTTTGAATGAAACCCTGGGAGCGCGGCACCTCCGCCTGCAGGCCGTGGGCAGCTTTTCTGCCTGGTCGCCGCTGAGCCCCCAGCCTGTGGCAGGGGGCAACACCCCCCCTCCGCCCCAGGCCGGGCCCCGCCC